GGGTACTAGGTAGCGTTAAATTTCTCGAAATAGACGGATGGACGCTTTACTCAGCACTTCGACAGACGGCTTCCCTCGCTCAGCTAGACGGCGATCTTTTGTCGCATGAATCAGAGCTTCTCACGGGGACAGAATCAAACAATGTATTAAAAATAACGATACGTTTGGTTGATCAAAGAAAGCGCGCTTATGTGAGAACATGTTAATGGATTACTCTTTCTTTGCTCCCCATCAGAAAAAAGCATTATCTATAATTAGCGGGGGCTCTCGTGGCCTAGAGGTTAAGGTGTTGGCCTCTCATTCAAAGGTCCCGGGTTCGATTCCGGGTAGGACCGAAACATTTTCTACTCTAAATTTGTCTCCTTTCACCTCCTTTCCTGCTCTCTAGCAATGGTCTGTCGTCTGCTTTCGTCTCCTCTTTCTGACCCCACTCCCTCATCTCAATGCTACTCCTTGGCTTCTTCTTACTGCTGTCTTTCAGCCACACCCCTGATCTTCTGGTAGGAAAGATCTACACGTAGCCTTCTCAGACAAGGGCGAAAAATCTCGGAGGGCCCGTGTGCAAGTTGCGCACGTTAAAGATCCCTTTGTGGTCTAAAATTGATAAGAGTAGGCTTCGGCCGCCACACGAGCAAAATTCAAAGTTTCCTACCAACTGAAAAAGTTTAATGTGTCCCGCGCGCTCATATGACTTTATGCAGTTGCGAGCGCCGTAAAACACTTACAAAAACAAACAAAACGATATAATTAGCCAACCTCATTCGGTTGTTACAAAGTTGTTGCCTCGAGGATTAGTTTTTAACAGCGCTGTGTTGTGAGAGTTTATCAAACAAGCACACACACGTACACACAATCTTTTAAGAGATCTGGCAGCACGCGACCTCAGTGATCAATTAACGATACGGAAGTCATTTTTAGTTATTCTTTTTAGAACAAAAAAAATAATAAACAGGCCTTTGATAATAGGCTTTGTATTATATAAACAGAGTGGTTAACATGACAGTTATATGCAAACAGAAAGTAAAAGAAGTGAAACATTTTGAACGGAGCGTTTGTTCGAAGATTAAATGATCTGTTATGCCTGGACGGAAAGCTAACCAAATGGAAATATCTACTGTACCTTTATTAGGCCTATGTTAGGCTATTCTTGTTTTTGTATGGTGATTGTGCGTTTCTTTTAATTTCTATTTTCATATTTTACATTTTTTTTAATGATTATTATTTTTACTTTTTAATG